TGTTGCGGTGCCTAGAGTGCCGACATATTTGGTTGGAGATATGAATTTACGACCTGCATACGACGGTTTACTCGGACCTGGATGGTCCCTAACGCCTGCTACGACAACAACAACTTCGGATGGTACGTCGCCGACGAGGCGCCTGTACTATGGGCCCCCTGTGCCTGTCTTCACCGAAATGTCTCAGCATGTCAATGCTACCTGGAGTCCCTTTTCACGGTCTTGTCAAGTACGAGTTGCAGGAGCCGATGCACCATCGCCCACAGCTTCGACTACGCCATACCACCCTGTATGCTTTGGACCACCTCTCTGAGTCGGACGACCTGCTGGAGGAACTGAAGGCCAAATTGGAACAGATAATGCCGAGTCGGATCGACCCGACGTTGTACGACATGGCCGATGATGGCCTGGTGAAAGTCTGGAAGCACTGGCATGAGAGGGCGGAGACCGCCCTGCAGCTGGCGCTGGAAGAGGATTACGTTACTGTATCTCATGCTGCGGAGTGGCCCAAGGGTTCCGAGGCCTCGACCAGACCGACTTCGCATGGGTCGCCTGCCAGGTTGGCGGGGACCATAGCACTACGACGGCTACTCAGACTACATCGTCAGGTGTCCGAGAAGCTCAAAGGTAAGAACGCCCTGAACCCTCGATCGTCTCTCGATGTGAGCCTGTGTGAGCGGGTGGCCTGCGCTACGATGGAAGGGATTCTGGAGATCCCACTGTACGGAGTCCCGACCTACAGCGAAACGCCCAACGTGCTGGTTGGAGCTATCTCCAAGGAGCAGGCCAAGATACAGGCCTCGTCGGGTGTGTACCAAGTAGCTACGCCCATGCTTCGTGCCGCTTCACCGACGGCAACTTCAGACGTTGGTGAGATGAGACGATGTTGGGAAATGCAATGGGCTCCAGATCCTGGATCCCACGATGCTGTTGGCCATTTTACGCGCTGACAGGAGTGGGCGGCCAACGTGGACTTCCCACAAGGCGGCAGGAGTGATGATTGTACTCCTACCTCCGAGTCCTTTGATTGCAACGTTGAACATTGTCACGGAGCTCCTGGGCTTGATGGATGGACGTCAGGCGAGCTCAAGATACTACCGTTGGGGCGTTGACCTAAGGAACCCTAAATAAGGAACGAGGCCCCTTTGTCCAGAAGTTCAACTTCGACTTCCCATCGAAAATACAAGGATGACCTGGGGCAAACTGCGAAACAATGAAGGAACGCGGAGCCCCTCCCCAACGAAAAGGGTTCCTTCTTCAGGGCCCCGACTGTACGATGCCTGCTTCCTGCAGTGATCCTGGGCCTTCACGAGCTGTGGCGTCTCACTTCACGGGCTCGTGCGGGGCGCCAGGGGGCACCGCCCAGCGCCGAGCCGGGGCGCCTCTTTCCCCGGAGAGTCGCGGGGGCCCCCAGGAAAGAGACTGGGCTTCGGCCCATCAGCGTGGGCGCGATCTTGGCTCGAGGGTGGCTGTCGGCGTGGGCCAAGGGTGTGCCGCGGCCACCTGACAGCCAGTACGCAGGTCGACTCAAGACCTCGGATGTCCAGGCTATCTCGTCCTGGCCCCACGACTGCGAAGCCGCGGAGGCCGGGGCAGAGCTTGGCTTGAGCAGAGCCTGTCACAACATCGCCTCCGCGGTTGGTGCCCAAAGCTGTACAGTCGGACCGCTGAAAGAAGGACCGCAAAATAAGGAGCGAAGCCCCTTCTTGGCCCTGTAAGCGCCTCCGTGCCCCAGGAGGGCAAGAGGAACAGCACTGGAGGAACCTAAGGAACATCGAGCCCCTTCCGAACCCAAACTGTTCCTTGTTTCAACGTCTTGACTGTATTTGCAGTGGAGTTCCGCCAGCGGTGGCCTTCACGGCCCCAGCTGCCTGGCGGGGGCCCAGGGCACTGCTGCGCGGCCCAGGTGCTAGCGCCGCCCACATGGCCCACGCGCGGGCGACTTTCGTCGTTGGCACCGTGGCAGCCGTGCCAAGGAACGTGCTGCATGGACGGCCGATCCATCACGTCAGCCACAATTGACGCCGTCGACGCCGACTCCGCCTACAATCGGACTTGATTCGAGAGGACACGCGAGAGGACAAAAGACCCTTTCCGAGGGGCACAATGCCATAGGAATGCAGGAGGCACGGGTCGCAAGACACAGGACACGAGGGTACCCTTGATCTGGCAGGGTCGACCTACTAATCCGGGCCGCCTGTACACACAGTCCTTCGACGCGGTGGTGGGGTCCGAGGAGAACCAGGCTAAGAGGCAACGGTGGACGCGTTCTGACGCTGGGCCAATGCTGATGGAACAGCTTGGGGTCATGGCCGTGCACGTCGACCCCACTCACCCGATCTGGCCCCGTGCTGGTTGTGACAAGCTGAACACCGCCATCCTTGCCCTGTCTTCGTGCCCTGGTACTGCAGCAGTGCGTCGGAGGTTGGCTACCTCGTACATTCGCCCCTTTTGGTTGTGGGGACCCTTTTTCGAGCGGTCATCAAAACCAAACACATGT